TACGGTTTGAGCATCTTCGCCTGCTCCCTCAGCTACCTGGACCAGCCCTGTCTGGAGACCATCAACCGCATCAAGCTGTACAGTGAATCCCTGGCCCGGTATGGGAAGAGCCCATATCTGTACCCTCTCTACGGCCTTGGTGAGCTGCCCCAGGGATTTGCAAGGTGAGGCTGTAGCTTTTTTCAGTTGGTATTTCTGAGCAAACAGAGGGCAGATGTTAAAATGAAGTACTCTTGTAGTGTTCTCACATTTCTTTCTGTGACCTGCTTTTATTTTCCACAACAGTTGGGAGATGGGGGCACAGCAGCAGTGGGTGGACACTAGTGGTGAAGCACCAATCCTCCATTCCCCTGGCTTGCTCAGCTCACAGTGTGAGGCTGAGGCAGCCTAGGAGCCCCAGAACCTTTATTTAGGGCTTGGCCAGTAGCTGATTCTTTCCTGGAGCTTCTTGGTTTCTGGTTCTGGGGGCTGCTTTCACGTGCAGCCGTGCTCTCCTGGAACCCTCAGGTAGTCGCCTGGAGAGTGCTGGCAGACGAAGCTCCAGACCTGAGTTTGTGGCAGTGGCCAAGCTGCTAGGACCAGCAGCTGGGTCTCCTGACTTCTGTCCCGCCTGTGGCAGCCTTCTCTGCACCCCAGGGACAGGGTGGAGAAGAGGGGCAGTGGCCCCGGGTCCCTGTTTCTCCCGGCAGGAGATTTCACCATCATTCCCTCTCCCCCAGGTTGAGTGCCATCTATGGCGGGACGTATATGCTGAACAAACCTGTGGATGACATCATCATGGAGAACGGCAAGGTGGTGGGTGTGAAGTCCGAGGGAGAGGTAAGCTGGTTCCACTGAACAACTGCCCCCATCATCTCCACACACAGCCGGTGGGCTGGGCTGCTCAGGGCGTGGCGTGCTTTCTCAGAGGCGCCACGTGCCCAGTGATTGGACAGGATCTGCTGCTGCTTGGTGCCAAGGCCTTCTGTGCTAGGGACGTGGGGTGCAGAAGCCGTCTATGTAGCCGTCGTGTCACCAGGAGCTCTCAAAGCCCGTGTACCATTGTGGTGGTACAGGGTCTCCCTGAGCACAGTGTCTCAAGTGGTGAGGGTGGTGGCCCAGCTCTGAGGCTGAGGGCTCGTCTCCCTGAGCTGGCTGGGGGCCTTGTGCAGAGACAGGCTGTGCGTTGCAGGAGGGGCCTTTGTAAGAGCTGCTTCCTGGGTTTGGGCCCAGCTCCCTGCCCACCTAGGAAAACGATAGGTCCCAGAACCAAGTCCTTCCTTGCTTTCACAGGTGGCCCGCTGTAAGCAGCTGATTTGTGACCCAAGCTACATCCCGGAGCGAGTGCGGAAGGCAGGCCAGGTGATCCGTATCATCTGTATCCTGAGCCACCCCATCAGGAACACCAATGATGCCAACTCCTGCCAAATCATTATTCCCCAAAACCAGGTCAACAGGAAGTCAGGTAGGCGGCGCCAGGGCGGGACTTCCTCTTGTGCATTCTCTCTCAGGCTCCTGGCTGCCCCTTCTATGGGAGCAGAGGGACCATGGGGCCCTCAGGCTTCGGTGGCTTCCTTTGCTCTCTGTGAAGGCAGCACCTCCCCACCCCCCGTGTACATGGCTGTGCGCCTGTGGCCCTCATTAACTGAGTACCTGTTGCGGGCAGACATCTACGTGTGCATGATCTCCTACGCTCACAACGTGGCCGCGCAGGGCAAGTACATTGCTATCGCCAGCACCACGGTGGAGACCTCGGAGCCTGAGAAGGAGATAGAGCCGGCCCTGGAGCTACTGGAGCCCATCGATCAGAAGTGAGAGGCTGGGCTGAGCCACAGGGTGAAGATGGGAACACGGGGGGCATTCTTGGGAGAGGCTGGGCGAACCCATCTTGAAGCCTGTCCTTGCCCCTCCTTCTGCTCTTCAGGTTTGTGGCCATCAGTGACTTGTACGAGCCCATTGACGATGGCTCCGAGAGCCAGGTAAGCAGACCTGTCCCAGCTCCCTGGCTCCCAGCTGCCTAGCAGGCCCCTGTGAACTTCACCCCCCGACCCCTGGCTGGCTGTTTCCAGGTGTTCTGTTCCTGCTCTTACGATGCTACTACCCACTTTGAGACCACCTGCAATGACATCAAAGACATCTACAAACGCATGGTAGGCTCGGCCTTCGACTTTGAGAACATGAAGCGTAAACAGAACGATGTCTTTGGCGAAGCTGACCAGTGATTGCCGCCCGCCCGCCCGCCCCAGCCCTGGTGCCCTCCCCCAGCCCGCTCCTCGGTCAGGGAGGACTAGGCTGGGCTGGGCCCTCCGGATCCAGCATCTTCTGCTCCCCCCCCCCCATCCCCATCACCCACCTCGATGATTCACTGACCAAATCCTTAACTTAGCGATGGTTTGGGAGATGGAGGCTTGGGTAGCGTTCTCTTTCTTGACCATTCCTTTATCCTGGCAAAAGAGGGTTCCTTTCCTCGTGTGTCTCTTCTCCTCTCCCCATCCCCAGTTCTTCTGCTCTCTTCAGGAAGAATGTGGAGGAAAAGCTGATTTCTGTCCCCACCTCTCTTACCCCTCCTGTAGTGGCCTTCGGAGATCTCCCCTGCCTCCCCCACCAAGTTTCGTGTGTGTTGGAAGAGAAGGGGCCCTCCCAGCACAAAGATGCAGTCCCCTCATAATTTATTCTAATTTATTAACCTTGGTCCCGTGGGAGTACAGGAGCGGGAGCACTGCACTGTCCCTCACAGCCTCTGTGCCATCTGAGTGGGGCCTTCCCAGCCCTGGTGCGGTCTGTGGAGGGGCCGAAGGCCTGGGCCTAGCACCGTGGGAGGTGGATCTTGCTGCTTTTGTTTTGGCCTTGGTGTCTGTGTCCTCTGGTACTTACTGGGAGAGAAGAGATTGGAGCAAACCAGGAAATGGGAGAGTGGATCCAAACCCGTGTCCCCGCTCCAGTCCTCACCTTCCCTTTAGTGGTGGGAAACCCTAACCTTGCAAAGTGAATGTGTCCCCTCCCCCTCTAGTGTATTTCACAGAAAACCAACTCCCAATAAACCTGTGTTGGAACCTGCTCCTGCCTCTTGAGCTTAATTAGGGAGTGGCCACCTGCTCGGCTGTGGGGTCCCAAGTTGGGGGCTCCACTTGGGTCCAGAGGCGAACTGGGCCAAACTAAGACACTGAAAGGTGACGGTTCACTGGGGTTGACAGCCCAGGGGCCAGAGGCGCCTATACGGAGGAGGCTGGGGTCCAGTCCACCTGCAGGACTACAGCCCTCAGGGTCCAGTGGAGGAAGCCAGGGGCTGGGACTCGGCCTTGGCAGGAGTCCATGCGGAGTGGGAAGGGCACATACGCCTCCAGGGGCTCTGGGCTGAGGGATCCTGTGGGCCTTCGGCCGGAGGCGCCTCAAGGCGGTGCTGCTGAAGCCACAAGTTACCATCAAAGAGGCAGACGGAGCCTCCGCCACGGGGCGGGGCGGCGGCGATCACGTGCTGAGGGGCCGGCCGTACGGGGCGGAGCCTACGGCGTGCTCTGGTACCATACGTCACGGCGTCGGCTTATCCGCCTGCTTATCCGCTGGTGCCGCCGCTCTTGCAGCTGGCGCTGAGTCTGGGCCCGTTGCTATCGTTATCGCTGCCGCCGCCGCCGCCGCCATGGCTCAGTACAAGGGCGCAGCTAGCGAGGCGGGCCGCGCCATGCACCTTATGAAGAAGCGAGAGAAGCAGCGCGAGCAAATGGAGCAGATGAAGCAGCGGATCGCCGAGGTGCGCGCTGGGCGCGGGTACGGCCGGGGACCGGGCGGGACCGCCGCGGAGCATGCGCGCCGCCGCCCGCCAGCTGCCCTCTGGCGGTCCCGGCGCGACTTCCCAGACCCCGACCCCGGTCCCTGGGCAGCGGCCTCGGGGTACGCGCGGCAGGAAGACTTGGGTTCGGGTCCTGGCCTGTGACCTGAACCGAGCTGCCTACACAGTTTTCTCATCTGCAAACTGGGCCAAGCGTCGTGCCGCCTCACAGGCGGAGGTCCCTGATGACAGGGAGCAGTGGCCAGGAAATGTCTCATTCTGTGGCACCTGCGGCTGCCCCTCGCCAGCGCAGAGGGCCTTGGCTCTGCCTGGGGTAGACGCTCTCTCTAGGGACAGGCCCAGAGGCAGAGGCCCATGCCCCTCCAAGCCACAGGTGTTCCTAGTGTTCACGAGGCACTTACTTCAGTGAGTGGCGAGTGACAGTGTGGGCTGCCGGGGTGGAGGAGGAAGGAGCCCCTCGACTTGGGCACAGGGGGGAGAGCACAGGGACTTGGGGTGCAGGTGGCGGCCAGTGCTGCTTTGCGCTGCAGCCAAGTCCCTGGCTCAGGCCCTGGCCCCGCTCCCCTGTGAGGACTCCCTGTGCTGGAGGCTGTGGCCCAGGCGAGGGTGACCGCCATACCAGCGGCTGCACTGGAGAGAGGAGGTCCGACAGGAAGCTACTGACCTGCGTCTGGGAGGCAGGGGGCCAGTCTTCTCTCTTTCACCCTTTCCTCACGCTCCTTGGCTTGTGTCTTGAAACCTGGATTTAAAAGCTGGATATGAACAGGCCAGCGGCTCCAGGCAGCTGGGGAGAGTCGGAGGGGTGGGTGGGAGCAAGTTCAGGGTCAGGGGGAAGCGATTTGTCCCCTGGCAACTCAGCCAGAAAGGGCCCCTCGCAGTCCGGTGGAGCCCTTTGACAAAGGAGAGGGGACCCGTGTCATATGGTGTGTCCCTGGGCAGATGTGGCACTAGAAGCAGGGCCCTGGTGGGGTGGCAGCCGGCCCTCATTGCTGACTTGCCTCCCCGGCAGGAAAACATAATGAAGTCCAACATTGACAAGAAGTTCTCGGCGCATTATGATGCCGTGGAGGCGGAGCTCAAGTCCAGCACCGTGGGTGAGTGGGCGCCACGCTGCCCCTTCCCGGCCCAGAGGCCCTGCTCCTGCCCTGGCTCTGGGTGACTGCTCCCTGCCCCACGTCTCCCCCCAGGTCTGGTGACCCTGAACGACATGAAGGCCAAGCAGGAGGCGCTGGTGAAGGAGCGGGAAAAGCAGCTGGCCAAGAAGGAGCAGTCCAAGGAGCTTCAGCTGTGGGTCCCTCCTCCCAGTGCCCACGGCTGCCCTGCGTGTGTCCCCTCTGAGGCAGGCCTCAGCTGTTAGCTGGCCTTGCGGGTGGGGGGGACCTCAATTCCTGCTTTGGGATTTGCTGCCTTTGGCCTGCCTGGTTGGGTCCCATAGTGATGTCTTGTCACTGTCCATGGTTTGTTCTTTATCCTTCTCCCATCTTTCTGGAAAAGGCAGTGAGTCCTTGGGACGCCCTTTCACCAGGGGCCTTTGCAGGCTGTGTTCTTTGTACTCCTTTTTGCCCAAGTCTGTGTGTCTTATCCCGGGACAGTGGTACTTCCCAGGGGTGCCAAGGAAACCAGGCCCGCCCTGAGTGGGGCCCCAGACACGGGTGGCTGTGGGTCAGGGAAGGGTATGGGCCGACCCCGAGGCACACAAGGTGCCCTGGGACCTCGGCAGGAAGCTGGAGAAGCTGCGTGAGAAGGAGCGCAAGAAGGAGGCGAAGCGGAAGATCTCAAGCCTGTCGTTCACTCTCGAGGAGGAGGAGGGCGCTGAGGAGGAAGAGGACATGGCTGTGTATGAGGAGGAGCTGGAGAGGGAAGGTGAGGGGTGGCCTTGGGGGGAGCAGCCTTGCCTAGGCCCCACAGGGCGCCCTGTCCCAGGTACCTGGGCCGAGACTGAAGCAGCCCATCGTCCAGTCGGCCTCCACCACCCGCGTCACACACGGGGTAGTTGGGAAGCCAAGGCTGGGTCGTATGCCATGGGTAGGGGAGTGGCCAGGAAGACTCCAGGAGGAACAGCCCTCGGACGTGACAGAGCGTGGATTGGTGTGGGATCACACAGTGTGCACCAGCGCTGGCCAGGAGAGCTTTGAGCGATGGCAAAGTGCTCTCCGTCTGTGCTGTCCGGTGCGGTGGCCTCCAGCCACACGTGGGCACTGAGCACTTGCTGTGTGGCTCGTGTCCTGCAACTAATACGTTGATTCTGTTGGATTCATTTCAGTGCACTTAGTGGCTATTGAATAGTGCAGGCCTAGACCTTGGCAGTAAGAAGTACCAGGGCCAGCTCAGGAGAGCTGGGCGTGCCGAAGCTGGCACGGAGGCCCCACACACTGCACACTTGCCCCTGGCCTGGCTGGGGTGGAGGCCCGTGCAGCGAAGCAGGGTGCTGTCCCCCTGCTGGTGGCAGGCAGATGGGCCCACAAGGCCTTCAGCATGAGGAGAATCTCATGAGCAGAGTCAAAAGATGACGGTGCCCAGACAGAATTGAGTGCAGTGGACACCTTTGAGGACTGGATGCATTTGAGGACTCGTAGCAAGTGGCGTCATAGGGCTCAGTGCAGGGTGAGGTGGGCTGTGAGCTGTGTCAGAAAAAACACGCTGGAGGCAGGGTGGGGGTGGAGGGACCCGAGAACAGGCAATGGTGCTAGACGGTCTAGTGACTGTGTGGCAGCAGCTTGGAACGGCGCAGGCAGATGGTGGCCTGAGGCCACCGTGTTCAGGTGGAAGAGTACTTGAGCTGCGCGTGGCAGGAGCCGCAGTAGAACATCAGAAACAGGTGGCGATGATGGCTTCGGTTGTCGGCTGAGGTGCTGTTTAGTCGGCCCCAGCTCCTGGCAACCCCGTGTAACACAGCGAGACGCTGCCCAGTCCCGCGCCAGCCTCACAGTCGTTGCCATGCTCGAGCCCAGCCTCGCAGCCACTGGCTCAGGCCCTCTCGGTACGGGTCTTCCCCTTTCTCGCTGACCCTCCAAGAATAACGTCGCTCTAGGGACTGGTCCCTCCTGATAACACGTCCAAAGTAGGCGAGGCAGCCTCGCCATCCGGCCCAGCTGGGCTTCCTCTCCGACTGGCAGAGTAGTGGATCAGGAGGTTTAGCAGCAGGTTGTGCGGGACTCGGTCTGTGCAGGATGCCAGTGCTCACGCCGGCCACACTCCGGTTCTGGCCAGCACAGACCCAGAGGGGCTCCTTCCAAACTCTGCTTTGCAGCTCTCCCTCCGAAGGTTTCCTCTCGGGGTCCTGGGGCAGGGCCGGCAGCTTTGCTTCATCTCCCGCCACGATTCTAAAGTGCAGCCGGGTCAGACCTGTGCCCCGGAGTGTCGAGTGGTGACTGGTCTTCCAGGCCAGCCGTCCTCAGAGTCTGCTCAGGGACCCTGGGGATCCCCGAGACCCTCTCTTGCCTGATGCCAGGGTGCCCTTTGCCTTTTACCCTGTTTCCTCATGAGTATGCAGTGGCGATTGCCAGGGGCCTCATGATGGGGGGGCGCACGCCATAGCTCTGACAGCTCGTGGCGTGCCTGCCTGCGAGTGGCCAAGTCTGAAACGTGCCTCAGTGTTGATTTCTAATTTAGCATATACCAGTGGCTACAGCCCACAGAAACAAGAGCTTGGGATCCTCAGTAGCATTTTTTTTTCCTTAAAAGTTTTACAAAATTTTTAGTAGATATACATGACAAACAATGACGCTTTTAAAGCGTACAATTTGTGACATAAATTATGTTCACCACATTGTGCAACCTAACCCTAACCCCAACCCATCATCTATTTCTAAAAGTTTTCATTCCCCCCGTCCCAAAACTCTGTGCCCCTTCAGCAGTAACCACACGCCCCTGAGACCCAGGTAACCTCCAGTCTACTTTCTGTCTGTGAATTTGCCTATTTCACGTACTTTATACTCACGTATTTTTTACACGTGGGACCACATGACATTTTGTTGTTTTGTGTCTCATTTATTTCACTCAGCATCATGTTTTCAAGGTTCATCTACGCTGTAGCATGTATGCAAAGTTCATTTCTTTTTGGCTGCGTAAGTCTCCATTGTACGGATGGTGCATATTGGCCGTCCGCCTCCTGGTGAACACTCGCATCGTTCGCCCTTGCGGCCGTTGTCCAGGTTTCCCTTGCATTTCTGCCTTCGCCACTTCTGACCGTGTGTCTGGGACTAGCATTGCTGGCTCAAAATGTAGTTACGGGTTCGTCTTTGTCTTTTAAATACTTGATTGAGTTTTTGGTGAAAATTTGCATGGGCACTTAGGTTCCTCTCTGCCAGTTTCCACACAGATTGCTCAGTGACACGGCTTACGTTGGCCAGCGTGTCAGCATTCGTTTCAGTCGTGTTCTCTCTATTCTGATCCGCTTCCCTGCCCCGTTCTCATCTGCGCTTTTGCTCTCGGGAGAGATTCAGTTCTAGGTTTAAAGAGTATCTCAGCTCTGCAAACCTTCACCCAAATCACAACACAAAGTTAACCAAAAAAAGCCGACCTCATCTAAAGCATCGTGGGAAACAACACACTGCTGCTGATCTGATTTGTTTGCTATTCTTTTACAATAATGCACATGAAGGAGTTTCAAGTCTGGAAAAAAAAGCGTCTCAGGATGGTAGTCTCAGGAGTCCTCGCTTCTCTACGGTTCCAGTTTGTCAGGCTTTTGATACGATGATGATGATGGTGGTGATGATTTTAAGAGCTTGTTTTCCATTCAACATGATGTGTACATTTAGTTTCATTCCCCATTTACCATGTCCAACCCCAACCCAGTCTCCTCCCCTCCCCAGCCTGCAACTCTTCCCCCTGACCCTCATAATTATGCACTCCTGTTTGTCCTGCATTTCCTCAGTTTGAATGTTGGTCCTCTGGTGCCCCGTGGTCTGTTGCTCTAAGGGATGCATTTCCATACAGTATGTGGGTGTATCATCCTGGGTTGAGTGCGTGTGCATCTTGTTAACTATTGCGCTGAGAGCCCGCCCCTGCGGGTGCATTTTATTCTAGACCCAGAATGTATCTCAGGGCCATGGTATTTGGGGTCTTACCAGATTTCATCCGACCAGTAATTCTGGTCATTATTGAGTTTTTGGATTTTATTCCATGTTTTCCCTCCCACTCTATCCAGGATCTCCAGATTTGATCCTTCCCTGAGTAGTTACCGTTGGTAGCCAGGCACCATCTAGTTCTTCTGGTCTCGAGGGCCATCGCGTCCTAGGGCTGATTGCTTCCAAATGCCCTTGTGGTTTTTTTTGGCATTCTTCTTTGCTTCCGATGCTAGGAGACCATTAGCTGCGTCTTAGATGGCCGCTTGAAAGCTTTGAAGACCCCAGTCACTAGTCACCAATGTAGGATGCGGAACAAGGCTTTTATGTGTTTCGTTGTGCCAGTTGAATCTGGTGTCCCCCACTACTGTGGTCCTGAGACGATGGATCTATTGGATCTCTCTTCCACAGTGTCTGGGTGTCTGTGAGGGATTACTCTGTGTCTGTCTTCTGTTGTTTCTGTAAGGACTGCAGGTATTTTGTATCACTGGTATCTGTGCAAGATTAGCCTCAGCTGAATCTATTCTTGGTTTCTGTGTGCACAATTTGGTGTCCTACCATTTCCTAGTGTTATCATAGTGGTCACGGATCCTTTCTGTATATCACTCCCCGTACTCATGTCAGTGTGTGGGCCCCAGCTAGCTGGAAATTAATCTTTCCCCTTCCCTCCCCATCCCGGTAACCTACAAAGTGAGTTCCCTTTCCCAAGCGAAGGACGAGTGGCTTTTTTAAAGTGAGAATTTGAGCTTCACTTATTTCTCCCACTCAATCCAGGACCATGTGCTGTGGCCCCGATGAGAAGGGTCGGTGGTGGCGGCTGGCCACCGTCTGGCTCTTCTGCTCTTAGAGTCGGTGAGGTCATGGCTTGTAGAGCTTTTGGTGACCTGACTGTTCTGCTCCTGGTGAGTAGAACCCTGTAGTTGTGTCTTCCATGGCCACTCACCAGCTTCTAGGACCCCAGATGCTGCTCACTTGGCTGGGATGCAGGTGAGGACTGACGTGAGCTGCGTTGGGCCACTTGGCTGAGTTCTCCCATGAGACTCTGGTTCTGAGTGTTCAAACCCAGAGAACCAGTCTTGAAAGGTGTCTGCTTATTGCTGATGTCTGTGGAGGACCTGCGTTTATGTCTTTAATGACTGTATGTGCCTGCACCCACACATTTATTTACGTACATATAGCACAGTGGCTGAAGCACTCAGATAACCTAAAGGTCAGCAGTTCAAACCCACTAGCTGCTCTGCAGGAGAAGATGAGGCAGTGTGCTTCTGGAAAGTTGTGCAGCCTTTTGGGGCAGTTCTCCTCGGGCCTATAGGGTCACTAGGAATAGGAAATGACTTGATGGCAGTGGGTTTGTTGGTTTTTTATAGCTACTTCTAAGGAGCCCTGGTGGTGCAACATTTAAGTGCTTGCCTGCTAACCCACAGGTCAGGGGTTTGACAGACCCACTGCTCCATGGTAGAAAGATGTGGCAGTCTGCTTTCATAAAGATTGCAGCCTTGGAAACCCTATGGGGCAGTTCTTCTCTGTCCTCACCTGTGTACACACCTGTGCCCACCAGTATGCCACTGCTGACACCCATCCACATGTGCTCACACCCGATTTTACTCCGGTTTGCTATGCTCACCACACCCACATTTGGTGCCACTTTTCCCATGACCAAAGAAAAGAAATTAGTAAGTCTGGTTTTGATTTGTATTTTCTTGATGGTTAATGATGTCGAACATCTTTTAATATGCTTATTGTCCATTAGTATTTCTTCTTTGGTGAAATGTCCAAGTCGTTTGCCCATTGTCTAATTGGGTTCTTTGCTTTCTATTAGGTTGTAGGAGTTCTTTATATATTTTGAATATTAAATCCTTATCTAATACATAGTTGTATAGACTTCCCTCCCAACTTGTAGGTTTTCTCTTCATTTTGTTGATTTTTTTTGATACACGACACATTGTCATTTTGATGATGTTCAAGTCAGCGCTTCATTTCTTTTGTTGCCTCTGCTTTTAGCGTTATATCTAAGGATCCATTGCCAAATCCAAGGTTCTGAAGATTTCACCCTCTGTTTTTTTCTAAGAATGTAATGGTCTTAGTTCTTGCAGTTAGGTTACTGATCTATTTTGAGTTCACTTTTGTACGTGGCTTGAGGTAAGGCTCCGACTGCATTCTTTTGCGTGTGGCGATTCGGTTGTCCCAGCACAATCTGTTGAAGAGACTGTTCTTTCTGCACTGGTGTTGGCATCCTTGTTGAAAATCAGTTGGTCATAGATGTATGAATTTATTTCTGAACTTTCAGTTCTATGTCATTGGCCTGTATGTCTGCCCTTATACCAGTACCATCACTGTTTTGATCATTGTAGCTTTATGTAGTATGTTTGGAAATTGGAAAGTGTGAGTCCTCCTGCTCTGTTCTTTTTCAAGATTGTTTTGGCTACCTGGGGCTGCTTGCAATTCCATATGAATTTGAGAATCAGTTTGTCCATTGCTGCAAAAGAAGCTTATTGTAATTTTTATTGGGATTGCGTTGAACCTATACATAGCTTTCCTAGTATTGGCATCTTAACAATATTAAGTCTTAATGATATTAAGTTATCCAATTCAGGAAGACTGGCCTCAGTAACTTTTAAGACTCTTCAGGGGTCGTGATACCAACACGGAGAATGACTTCAACAGGTTGAAGAACAACCGTTCTCGTTTCATCTGTATCTTAATTGGCAAAGTGAATCCCAGCACCTAGGACGTTGGCAGATCCTGTCCTGAGCACATGGACGGGCTTTCTGTCCCCTCCCCACCTGGCTCAGATGTCATTATCAGAGAGACTTTGGGCAATTTAGCTAACTCTCCCCAGCTTCATCTGTTTGGGGCTTTTGTGAGGATATCAGGTGTGTGACTGGGAGCACACATCCCCTCAGATGCTTGCATATCCCTCAAGACCTCCAGGGTCCTCTGAATGGTGGCCACTGGGAAAGACCACCGTCCTAGTCTCCTGTCCAGCTGCTAGTGTTGGTGACTGAGGCAGACCTGAACTTGCGTTCACGGCCGCCACAACCCTGGCCAAGGACACTCTTAGGTCTTGCTAGGGTCTAGGAAGAAAACAGCCTTGGCCAGTGTGGTAGAGCCAAGACTGGGAGCAGAGGGGGGCTGCTTCCCAGCTGGGCGGTCAAAGGAGTCTTTGAGGAAGGGGTCCGGGTGCCTTGGGGGTGTGCCAGTTACGCTAGCTGACTCCTGGCTTTCATTGTGCACCAGAGGTTACCACAAAGAAGAGGAAGTTGGGGAAGAACCCAGATGTGGACACAAGCTTCTTGCCTGACCGAGACCGTGAGGTAAAGTGTCCCTGCCCCCTGGGGAAGGATCTTGCTCAGAGTAGGGTCCTGTACGCGGCATCGTGGAGCAGCTCTGGGCCTCAGTCCCTTTGGCCATCTCTTGTCCCAGGAGGAGGAGAACCGGCTCCGGGAAGAGCTACGACAGGAGTGGGAAGCCAAACAGGAGAAGATCAAGAGTAGGTGCTGCTGGTTGGATAAGGGAGCCTACCCGGGGCAGCACCGGGCAGTCAGCGCCAGACGGGGCACCGAGCTGGGTCCCAGGTGGGGTGGCCGGGGCGGGGGCGCACAGACAATGGAGACACTGGGTGTGCAGCCTGCGACACTTCTGACTCGTAGGCGAGGAGATCGAAATCACCTTCAGTTACTGGGACGGCTCTGGGCACCGGCGGACGGTCAAGGTAGGTGGGCCTCAGGGGCCCAGCCCCTGCTCCCCTAACGCCTCCGCCTCCCTTGGATTCGGTGGGGAGGAGTTGAAGACCGAGGACTTGGAGCCCGTGGGCAGCCGCGTATGGGGGCGCCTTGGGGCTGCCAGGGAACAGGGCCGCGCTGCCTTGGCCCTTCTCGAGAGCCCCTTCCTGGCTCCCGCCCTCCATCTCCTTCCCCTGGGCCTCCTCCACGCCGGCTCGCTGCTCCGCAGATGAAGAAGGGCAACACCATGCAGCAGTTCCTGCAGAAGGCGCTGGAGATTCTGCGCAAAGACTTCAGCGAGCTCAGGTAGGGGCGCGTGCAAGGGGGCGGGGCACGGGTGGGGGCGGAGCACGGGTGGGGCCGACTCCCGGCTGCTGCACGGTCCCTTGCTTTTACGTGGGCGCGTGGTGGGCGTGGGGATGCCACCGGCGGCTGGGTGGTTATGTGGGCGTGGCCTAGGGATGGGCGCGTGAGGGGCGGGGCCGACCAGCTCTTGGTCGCAGGGCCCAGGAGTGCCCCCTGGTGGGCGTAGCTGGCTGGCTGCCTCTCCTTAGTCCTTCGCCCCCAGATGGTGGTAGGGGAGGCCGGCTGTCAAGGCCTGCCCTTACCCTCCTCCCGCAGGTCAGCGGGAGTGGAACAGCTCATGTACATAAAGGAGGACTTGATCATACCTCACGTGAGTCCCCTCCAACTGCCACCCGTTGGGCATTCGGGGCCATGCACTGTCAGTGGGCAGGGGCAGGGCACCACGGGTGCTCACGCCACAGGTCTCCTGTCCTTGGCTTTTAGCACCACAGCTTCTACGACTTCATCGTCACCAAGGCCAGAGGGAAGAGCGGTGAGTCGGTCCTGCTGCCCGCCCCCCGCCCTTCCCTCCTGCCCCAGAGGCCATGGGGCAGCATCACAGTGATGGCCCTTCTCCCTTGCAGGGCCGCTCTTCAACTTTGACGTTCATGACGACGTGCGGCTGTTGAGTGATGCCACCGTGGAGAAGGACGAGGTACGGTGGAGGGCGGTGGGGGGGTGAGGTGCCCCTCTGTTGGGCACGTCCCGGTGTCTTTGTCATGAGCAGGGGTTGAGGGCCTGCCTGCTTTCCGTAGTCTCACGCTGGCAAGGTGGTGCTGAGGAGCTGGTATGAGAAGAACAAGCACATTTTCCCAGCCAGTCGCTGGGAGCCCTACGACCCTGAGAAGAAGTGGGACAAGTACACGGTGAGCGGAAGCTGGTGGGAGCCAGCATCTGTGTCACTGCCAGCACCTGCTAATCTGTTTCCTTCTCTGTCCCCTGTCCCTGCCCTTACCCCTGCTACCCTCACTCCAGATCCGGTGAACACTGGCAGGAGGCTGCGTGGCCTCCGCTCTTCCGGCTCCCCCAGTTCTCATGGCCCCAGGACTCCAGGCAGCCCCTTCTCCCCTCCTGCAGTGCTGGGTGTGTTGATCTGGGGTGGGCTTGGGGGATAGGGCTAGGTGACAGGAGCGGCTCTTCCTTTGTCCCCTGGTGCTGTCACATAACTGCTTTGTCTTTGGCAATAAAAAATGCCCCTGTCAGAGGTGGGCTGGCATTAGGAAAAAGTGTTTGTTTTGCTTTTTATTTTTTTTCTGGAGGTCAAATTATTATAAAACCCACCACATGAGACCATTCTGTGGTACTTGGTGCAGCCATGCTGGTACAGGCAACACCAATTCCCAGGAGGACCCCTGGACCCCTGAGCAGTCGCTGCCCAGGCCTCTGGCCTGGCCCCTGCAGCACTGACCTGCCCTCCGCCTCTGGACCCGCCCGCTCTGGGTACCTCCTGTCAGCAGGCTCGTGCCACCCTGCTTTCTTGTGTGGGATTTATTCCACTCGGCCCTATGTTTTCCAGTTCCATCCATGTCATACGGATCCAACTCCATCTCTCTCCATGAAAAAAAAAAAAAAAAAATCAAACTCACTGCCATCAAGTCGGATCCAACTCCTAGCGACCCCTCCTTGGGTTTCGAGGCGGTATCACTACGGAAGTAGATTGCCCCATCTTCCTTCCCAGGAGTGGCTGGTGGGTTTGAGCCGCCAGCCTTCTGGTTAGTAGTCAAGTGCCTTACGCACTACCCACCAGGTTGAGTCGTATTCTGTATGGATGGACTGCTTTGTGTTTTTACCCATCACCTTGGTGGGTGCTTGTGGACATGCCTTGGCTAACTGCTGGGGCTGCAGTGGCCCCTTCCCTCTGAGGTCTGCGCCGACAGCTGGGTCCTTGGCTTCACCTTCCTGAGGCCGAGCAGAGGGGAGAGGGCAGCGCCCGCTGCAGGCTAGCACCCAGCTTGGGTCTGGTCCACTTCCTGGCTGCACACTCCCATCTCGTGCTGGAATTTGCACTGAGAGGCTCAGGCAGGATGGGCCCTGCCGGTAGAGTGCCCACCTGCCTGCACCCCCTCAAGCAGGGTCTGGACAGAGCTGCCTGGCAGCTTGGACTGATCCGTGGCTGCAGTGGGGCCGTTGGGTGAGCTGCAGGAGGGAGAAGGCAGAGTGGGCCAGGGTGCCTCCAGGCCACAGCAGGGGCGGGGGTGGTGAGGCCTGGCCCGAGGTCCCCGGAAGTGAGAGAGAAGTCTCAGGGCCTGAATGGGGCTTTTGTTGGGTTCCCAGGAGTCCAGGGGTGGGATCCGTCTGGCCCCCCGCACCACCCCTGTCCTGTACTTTGTGAAGCCACCAGAAGAGCCGGCTTTCTGGGGAGAAGGCCCCCCTGTCGGCTAGCACTACACTCTGCCTCAGCTGAGCGGGCCTTCCTTCGAGCAGGCCTTGGGGACTGCTCAGGACTCAATTGCCCCAAAGAAACAGATTAAAGTCTGACCTGTGCCTGTGGCAATGGCCCCGTCAGGAAACATGGGCTTTGGAGATGTTAGCAGTTTAGATGAGGTCAAGCCCATGTGAGTGGTGCCCCTGGAGAGACGACTCAGAGAGATTGACCTGGGGGAGACGCCATGTGGCCATGAAAGCACAGGGTGACGGTGGTGTGACCAGAGGCGGGCAGAGACAAGGGCTCACCTAGAGCCCTCAGGGAGAGCCCAGCCCCGCCGAGGTGCCGACCTCGGACCCCTGAGACAGTTTCTGTTGGGCTGAGTTCCCACTCTGTGGCAGTTCGTTATAGCTGTGCCAGAAAACAAATGCAAGGATTGATGGGCTCTGGCAGGTGACAAACCGGGCTCTGGAACAGTCCTCAGGACTTGAGAGGACAGGCTAGGGGATGAGATCCTTTTGGGGTCAAGACCGAGCAGGGTAGGGGGCTGTCAGGGAAGGAGATCGGTTTTCTTGACCCAGGGAGCCCCTTGCCCCAGTGCAGGGTTGAGGTGGGAGAGTGGAAAAGGGGCCCAGGGCTGAGGGACAGCTTCCAGTGGACAGCCCGGGCTGTTTCTTGGGGACTTGGATCCAGAGGGATCTGGAGTTCAGAGGAGAGCTTATGTCTTGATGCTCTGAAATGAAGAGATCACAAGGTCAGGGGGTGGACAACCAGTATGTGCCAAGGTTTGTCACAACGGAGATACCAGGAGGAAGAAGGCCGCCACTCCCAGCTCCTGGAGGCCCACGTTGCTGGTGTGTGTGTGTGTGTGTGTGTGTGTGTGTGTGAGAGAGAGAGAGAGAGAGGTACAGATAACAGGGGAGCAATCAACGAACAATCAAGACCAGGTGGCCTTTCTGGTGACGTGATACTTCAGTCGGCCATTCAAACGCAGGAAGGAGCATTTCACGCAGAGGGAACAGCAAGTGCAAAGACACTGGGCACAGAGGGGGAGGGGGCCGGGACGAAAGCAGTGGACGGGACAGAGGAGAGGAAGGCAGAACAGCCTGAGAGTGCTGTCCCAGGGCCTGGGAGATGGAGGGAGGGGCCTCTTCTCTGACCTTCGGTGTAACGGTTCACGCATCGGGGTGAGGGGCAGCCTTTGCTGCGCCTGCTTCCAGGTGGGCTCAGCCCCCACAGGCCCCAGCAGAGGTCGCGTCAGTTTCTGCCACCTCCCTCTGCACCTCGTGTTCTCACCTCAGACGGAGCCTCCCCACTCGCTCTATTTTGAGCTGCTGAGCGAATAGTCTAGCCATTGCCAAATCCCCCTCCCTGAGGCCTGGCCCACTTTGCAGCTCCACAGCCACGAGGGAGAGGGAGAGTGACACGTGCCTCAGCCTCACTCACAGGGTATGGTCACTCCATGCTGGGGGACATAGGCCCGTCTGACACGGGACATTGAACCTTTCATGGTGGTTTAAATTGTTTTTTCTTTGGATTGAGGTGAAATTTACATTTAAAGTGTCCAGTTCAGTGGTGTTTACTGCATTCACAATACACTAACTCCTACAAGCACCGCCTCTGTCTAGTTCCAGGACCTTTTCATCACCCCAAAAGGAACCCTTATACTCATTAGCAGGCATTCCCTAGCCCTCCTTCCCCCTGGCCCTGGCAACCACAGATCTATTTTCTGTCTCTTTTACCTATTTTGGACCAAATTCAAAACCCATTACCATCACTCGATTCTGGAGCTCTGGTGGCATACTGGATAAGGCATCTGCCTGCTAAACAGAAGGTCAGCAGTTCAAACCCACCAGCCACTCTGCAAAAGGAAGATGGGGTGATGTACTTCTGTAAAGATTGACAGCCTCCGAAACCCGATGGCGGTCGCTATGAGTCAGAATCCAGTCAACAGCAGTGAGGGTTTTTTTTTTTTTAATCACTCCATTCTGATTTACAGCGCCCCTAGAGGACAGAGTGGAACTTCCCCACAGGGTCTCCGAGGCTGTCAATCTTCACGGAAGCAAAGCCCAAACCACACCCACTGCCGTGGAGTCCATTCTGACCCGTAGCGCCCCTAGAGGACAGAGTGGAACTGCACCACAGGGTCTCCAAGGCTGTCAGTCTTCACAGAAGCAAAGCCCAAACCACACCCAC